AGTCCGCCATTCCTTTGTTTTCTTTATTGACATGCTCAGCTTTCAATGTCATGTTGTTGCTACCGTGTTATCAAATAAAATGTTTGCATAATTTCTAAGCAAACTCAAAAGTTGGTGTAAAAAGATCTTTTAGCTATGCATTTTCAATAGAAATACCTATTACTCTTATTATATTTCACTAGTCTAAATATAAATTATGAATTGATAATTTTCACAAAGTACAAAGCTACCCAGCTTGAGTGCTTTGCGCCCAGACTGAGGCAAGATTCATTTTGATGTTCCCTCTCTACTCCTAGACCTATTATTTTCACCAATAAAATACAATCTAAGCTCATTTGGATGCCACCAACAAGTCTGGCAACATGTGGACATCTGTACTCCCTCTGCCCCCACCCCCTTTAGTTTAGCTATGCCTCTACTCGTGTCGGGAAAATATAAATAATTATAATTATAACAAATTGTTAAGCTTTTATTTTAAAAAGCACTCCAAAATATATATTAATAATAACTTATTTTTATTAAATTGGTTATACCTTTTTACACATATTATGACGATTCTTATTCCGCCTACTGTCAACTATGAAAATAAATTTTACTTTGCTTTCAGATGTCATCAATGGACTCATCAATATTCAGTGAGTATGTAGGCTACATTATTCAGCGGCCAACACTTTTATTTTATGCTTGGATTTTTTATGAAATAAGTGTTGCAAGAAAATAGACAACTGGAAAACTAATTTTTCGGGTACAAGTAAAACTCTATGTTAAAGTGTATTGTATTACTTAAAGCGTTTATTTAATTAAAGTTAATTAATTTTTGTACCATGTCGATAGCCTATGCTTCGTACAAAATGAGTAATGCCTTTTAAACACTTCAGACAACACACTGTTGAAGAAAGAAGAAAAAATCTTAATCTGTTGTGCTTTATATCGATAACGGTTATTTTCGTGCTCGATTTGAAGTTAGCATCTTCAATGTTGTATTTCAAAATAGATAAGTCAAAGCTCTACCAAACTTTGTCATAAGTGTCTCTCAGAAAATGACACACAATACAACAGCATTCCAAAAAGCAGAAAAGTTTCATGGTTGAAAATATATTTTTTAATGACATATTTCAGATATTTATTGCGACCACATTTTTTGATAAATTCAAAACGCAGGGATGCATTTTGGCGCATACCTGAATTTAATTTTGCTTTATTCTGCACCTGATCATCAAGCAACAGAAGAGATGCTAGAGGAAATTTAGGTTTCCTTTAGTGCCTTCACCTGATTTTTATTTTTATATAACTTTTTTTTTCTTTTTTCCTTTTTTTTTTTTTTTTTTTTTTTTTTTTTTTTTTTTTTTTTTTTTTTTTTTTTTTTTTTT